ACTTACACTTCCTCCTACCCCCCAGCTGTCTCAGGTCCCAGCCCCTTGGAGGGATTGTGAAGTCAGAGGAAGGGCATACTGTGGCAGGAAGGGCCCGAGGCCCCAGAATGGTACTCTGGCTCTTTGGGTTGGAGGGCAGGAGAAGGGCCCTGTTAGAGCAGGCGGCCAGGCTCCCCAGGAGCGGGCACTGATTCTGTGTAACCTGCCACGTGCCTTCTTGTGGACAGGTAGTCAGGGGCTGCTTTTGCTGGCTTTGCCTCCTGCCCAGGGAGGGCCAGGGGCCAGAGCGGAGTGGCTGGACTGTCTTGTCAGGGCCTGCCCATACTGATGGGTGCGGAATGGGGGCCAGGCAAACAGAGCTGACAGGGACCACTCAGCCCCTACCACGGGCACCCTGTGTGGCAGGAGCCAGGAGCGGGGTCAGTGTGCAGGTGTGGGCCCTGTGTCTGCCCCTCGTGCTGCCCGTAGGACAGTGGGTGGGGTCCCATCCCCCAGCCTCCTCCCCCTGCGGCTTTCTGCAGGCTTAGAGGAGGGGGTGGGGGGAGCTGAGCGAGCAGAGGCTGCACAAGGAGCCCTCCTGCAGCCTGAGCCAATGGCCTCCCCTGCCCGTCTGCAGGGTGCATGGGTCTCCCAGGGGTTCTGGCAGCAGACAGGGGTCTACCCACCCCTGGTGCAGGTTGGGCTGGTGGCCCTCAGCCCTCGGCCAGCCTAGCCTGCCAGGCAGCCATCAGCAGCCCACGAGGCCAGGCCCTGAGACCCTGGCCCTGAGCTCTCCCACCTGCACCCCCAGGCCTGGCGCACACTCATCCCCCAAGGGCTGTTGTCTGAGCAGATGAAGTGAGTTCTTTGTCTGGAAGGTGCTGTGAGGATGCAGGGGGCCCTCGGCTGCCTTCCCCCTGGCTCAGGCCCTCAGAGCCCTCAGGCTGTCCGACTCTAGGTGGGCAGGAGGCCTCCCAGCTGTGGTGGATGCTGCTGAGGCTTCGAGGGGCTGGCCCGGCCGCAGACCAGCAGGCTCCAGGCCCGTCAGGAGAGGGTGCTCGGGGCTTTGGGTGGGCACCTAGCACCAGCCAGTGACCTGGGGCCTGGCACCAGGGTGCATGTTTCTCTGAGGCAGGGGGCACTAATCCAGAGTACACGGGAGCAGAGCGGGGTGCACCAAATCCTGGGCCCATGGGGTCACAGTACTGGCTGCAGAAGAGAGCCACAGGGAGGCCGGGAGCCATCACTCATGCAAGGGTTCACCCAGCACCTGCTGATGGCCAGGCCCGGAGCTGGGCACAGGCCTGCTCCCGTAGGGCCCCGAGGCCGTACTAGGCCACAGTCATGCTGCCGTGTGGTGCTCTGGTGGAGGACTCTGGCAGCACAGAGGAAGGGCAGTCACAGAGGGCTTCCTGGAGAACGACCTCACCACAGAGACCCACAGGAGGAATGGGAGTCTCAGGAAGGAAGGGACTTGGAGAGGGAGTGACAGCACTCGGGGCTGCAGGCCTTGGACTCACTGCTGCCGGCCCAGGAGTGGGTGAGAAATGAGGCTGGAGAGGGAGGCTAGCTCGAGGAGCATAGGCTTTGTCCTTGGGGCAGCGGGGGTCAAGGGGGGGCTTTCTTCAGCCGGGAACGGCATGGTCCGACCCACATTCTGAAGAGGTGGCCCTGGAGCCCAGCCGTATGCAGGAGGGAACGGAGGGGATGAGGCACTGGCAGGGGCCCAGGAGAGGTGGGGGCCCAGCAAGGAGGGGGCAGGTTCCAGAGATGTTTTGGGAAACGTGGTACAAGAGTCAATGCTTGCTGGAGGCGGGAGGGATGGTGGGGAGGATGACGCCTAGGTCTCTGCACTGCGTCCTGATGTGGGGTCCCAGAAGGAGCAGGCTTGGGGAGCAACAGTGAGGCCTTGCAGCTTGGACATGTTGGTTCCAGGTGCCCCCCGGGGGTCAGAGCCGCTTCCACAGTGCACTGGGCCTCGGCCGGCAGGGAGCCCTCAGGTCTGAGCCCACCCTCCACCAACTTAGCGCAAGGACACACTTCACACACTGACACACTTCAGGGCCCCCGCCTGCTGTGTGTGTCATAACCACTGTCAGGGCCAGACGCCTGGGCCAAGTTTGCTGGAAGTTTAATCGCTGTCACGAGCCCAGCCCCACACAGGCAGAAACACCCCACTCACAGGCAGGAGAGTTGTGTGCAAGGCCTTCCCCGAGGGTGCACAAGCGAAGAAGACTCCAGGCGCCACCAGGGCCTGCACATCCGGGCAGGCGCCAGGCCGGCTGCCGCGAGGGGCCGTGAGGACCCGAGAGGAGCCGAGCTGCCACCACTGGGCGTGATTTATACCTGACTCCCACTCTCGGGCGCGCCTGCCAAGACCACAGCCCCACAGCTGCAGTTAGCCAGGCTCGAAGTCAGGCTGTGTTTCCTGGGGCTCCCCTGGCCGAGAGAAATGCGGGAGACCCGGGGTTGGGGGTCAGCCACTACACTGGAGGCCAGTCCTCAGCCTGATCAGCCAGGCCCGATGGCGGAGCCGAGTCTCAGAGCTCTTGGGAGGCTCGGTAAGAGGCTGAGCCTCTGAGCGAGAGTGACCGTCAGGAAGTAGGCTGTGCATTCGACCCTGCAGGAGCTCCCCTGTGGGCCGGCAGAGATGCCCTGGGGGGACCCAGCAGCCTGTTCTTGGGGGAACCTCCATTCTGTGGGGAGATACAGAAGGAAGTATCATAGCTCTGAAAAGTACTGTAAGGGAAGCAACCGGGACAGCGGAGAGGGACTGAGGAGGGCCTCCCCGAGGAGGTGGCCACTTTCATGCTGAGACCCCAGGATCAGAGTCGCAGGCCAAGGCCAAGGAGGGAGTGGCTGGGCATAGGTGAGAGCAAAGGGTGACATGGAAGGACCTCGGAGGGTTTCTAGAACAGAAGGTGGCCTGGCAGCTGGAGAACGTGCAGGGAGGGAGAGGTGGGGTGGGTCAGGTCTCAACCAGAGGCTAGCGGCAGGCCTGGCCTGCATCGAGGTACACAGTGAACATAATTGTCCACCCCAGGTCTGCCCTGTCAAAGTGACAGATAGATAGTGGCTGATGCCGCTGTGTCGGGGCGCTGCCCCCGGCCGACACCAGAGACGCTGCAGCCAGCTTTCTAGGGCCAACATGGTGGCCGGTTTTACAGAGGAAGGTTCCCAGGCGCACAGAGGTGAAGGAGTTTGCCCCGGTCACACAGCAGGGGAGCAGTAGGGCTGGGATGCAAGTCACCCGGGTCTCCGTTTCAGGGATGCCGTACCATCAGGGAAAGGTCCCCACTCTGGCTCCACCTCAGGGCCACAGGCCAGCCCAGCCCAGGATGCCGTGTACCCCAGGACTGCTCCAGACACGGGCCAGCAGCAGCCAGAGGCTCACCAGCCCTGCCCAGGGTGTCCCCCGCGCTGCACTGGTCTTTGCCAGACTCTGGATTCCAGCCTTAGGCGGGCAGGGAGAGCAGGCTGATGCTGGGAGCTGGGGCGGGCCATGACAGTAAACTCTGGTCCCTGGACTCTAAAGGGAAGCAGGTCTGTGGACGGTCCCGGGAGACTTCCCACGCTCCGCCTGGCGGAGGGGTTGGGCACGGCCCTCTGGACTGGCCAGGCTGCAGCCCCACCCTCCTGCTCACAGCCCGGATCTTGGGGATCTAGGAGGTGGAATCCAACCTGCAACTCTGAATCTCGAGCCTCTGACTCTGGCAGGGAAGGGGCCCCAGTGTGGGGGCCTGGTGCCCATCGAGTGTCTCCCAGAGTAGGCTATCACCCCCGTTCCCTACCAAGCCAGCCATCTGCGTCTATCCACTGCAGACCCTCGTGACCCAGCCCATGCCCAGCTCAGGGTCAAACAAGGCCCCTCACTGCGTGGCCTCCCCAGGACCCCCCTCCCCTGTACACAACGGTCAATGAAAGGGGATGAGGAGGGCAGGTTCTAGCTGAGCCAGAGCAGGGTGTGGCTGGGGGAGGGGGACTTTGGGGGCTGAGCTTGGCCAGAGAGGGTGTCACAGGGACTGGTGCAGAGCACTGCAGTCATGTGGACCCCTCCCCGTCAGCCAGGCCCAGTGTCCACCCTGGGGTGGGGGCAGGAAGCATCTCTGGTCCAGGTCCTTGTTGGATGCTCAGGCTGGTCTAGAGGTGGGGGTAGATCCCCCTTGAGAGAGGCTGCAGATGGCGTCCCACAGAGCCCCATGGGCAGGGCAGGGGTGTGCCAGGTGGTGGCTGAGGCTCTTAGAGGGTGGCTCTCTCCCTGCGCCCTATGCAGCAGCCCCCACAGGCCGGGATGGGGGCAGGCCCCCCAGCTCCACCCAGCCTGTGTGACCCCAGGAGCGCTGTGCCTGGGGAGCTTCTCCACTCTGGCCTTTGCCCCAGAAACACTAGTTAGATTAGCAGCCTGGGGCACAGACGCCTAGGATACCTAGGAGATGGTCCCCTGGTGCTATTAGCAGGCAAGGCCACAGACCCCTGCCAGCCAGCCGGGAGGCTGTGCCAGCTGCACCTTCACTCCAGAAACCTTTGCTCCCCACCATGGCTCCGAGGATGATTCAGCCACGTTCCAGGGTGTGCAGGGTGCCCCCTCCCTCAGCCCCGGGCTTCCCCTTTGCCCCACAGCAGCAAACCCCAGGCCTGCGGCTCAGAGGCAGCTTTGCAGCGGGGGCCTTGGCCGGGTTCACTGAGGCCACAGCACTTCTCCTACTGGGGGACATAGGAATTTCTCCTGTGCTGCTGGGGGTCCCACTGGACTTCCGTGGCTACAGAGCACATGCTGGTCGGGGTGGACATAGCATGGACTGCAGGGTAGACTGGGGTGGGGAGGCCTGTGGGGAGCAGGCCTGAGTGCCCCTGGCCCAGGTGTGCAGGATGCCCCATCAGCACCCTTGTCCTCACCTTAGGCTCCCTGCCTCAGCCAGTTCAGTAGCTTTGTGTCTTCTCTGACCCTTGAGGTCAGGCCCTGGGGAGCCCCGGCCAGCTGCCGACTCCACCACTCACTGCAGCCTTCCTTTGAGCTACAGGCGTCTGGTGGCCTGACATGCACCGCCTGGCCGACCGCATCCACCTGGAGGAGCTGGCCCGCATCGGCATCCTGAGCGGCAGCGTGGACGCCATGGCCCAGGTCCACCTGGGAGCCGTGTTCATGCCTCACGGGCTGGGCCACTTCCTGGGCATTGACGTGCATGACGTGGGCGGTTACCCCAAGGTCAGTGTGGGCCCCGGGTGGTCTGCCTGTAGGCCATCGCTCAGCCTACCTTCCCCAGTGGGACAGGCAGGGTCGGGCTCCCTGGTTCCCAGTGGTGCTTGGACGAGGAGAGCTGGGGAAGGCCCCAGTGGTGCTCACTGCCCCTCCTCCCTCTTCACCCATGGGTGGTCCTGGCCCAAGCTGCCGCGCTGCCCCCTGGGGCCCTTCTCCAGTGGCCGCCTCCACAGGACCTGGACGTGGAGCTGGATGCTGTCTGTAGCACCTGCCCTGCAGGGTGGCAGGGGGTCATGTGCAGCGGATGGGGTCCCCTCAGGGCCGTGGGAGCCCTGAAGCTGGGTCTGGGGAATGAGGCCAGCACTGGACCACTCATGTTGCCCTGCATCTGTGCTTCGTTCAGAGGAGGTGATGAGGTCCCACCAGCTGCTCACTCGCCCTGGTTGTTTGGGGGAATAGCTGAGTGCAGACCCCCTCACAACCCTGCAGCAGACCCCTGACCCCTGTCCCCTGTCTGGTACACCCTCTGCTTTCCAGGCCCCGGGTCAGTTGCCCCTGCAGCCTTCTTGTCTCCGGGCACTCTGGGGACCCTTGGCAGGTGACAGAGGGAGGCTTCTCTGGGGCAGCTCCAGACAAGGCCCCCTCTCTCCCCTCCGCCACACATGGCTGACATCCTTGAAAGAACCACGCAGAGGAGGGCACTTGGGGGCCTCAGGAGGTCCCTACTGGGCAGGTGGCTGCGGCCTCTGGGCCCCAGGCGGGTGGGGCGGCCCATCCCTGTTGCTGGCACGCTGCTCCTGCTGCAGGGGGCTGATTGTGCAATCCACGCACGCCTTGGGCCCCCTACCCCCACCAGCCTGTTAGCCAAGACCAGGCTTGGCCTTTTGGCTGCAGGGTATTTTGAAAGCACTAGGAATGATTTTGGGGGGAAAAAATTGCTCAAGAGAAGCATTATTATTCAATTATTTTTTCCTCAAGTGTAAACAGTTAAATTTGGAGAAACAAAATCAGTTTTAATTTCCTAATTTCTCTCCATCATGTTGCGTGCAGGGAGCCAAGAGCAAGGGCCCCCCAGACATTGGTGACTGAGGTTCCTTATTCATTAGTCGCCAAAGCGCTTTTTTCCACTGGAGAAAATTGGCAGCAAGCAGTTTTCATCTTTCCAGTAAGCAGCCCTTTGTGCTCAGAGTCTATTCTTCTGACAGATAAACATTGTGGAAGAATAAGGCTTTTCCTATAAAGTCATTTGTTTTATTTCAGGCCTGCAGACACATCTGGGTCTCTTCTGCCCTGAGCCCAGTAACAGTTGTGGCCTTATCAAGCCCTCCATCCAGGCAAAGGCCGGCCTGGGCACACGTGGCAAGCGCCCCCCACCCACCCACCAGGGCTGCAGTTCGAGGGTCAGAGAGGGCTCCGGGCGAGGCCTCTCCCCTTCCTGGGCCCGACGCTCCACTCTGCCTCTCCCACCCTGCTCTGGCCACAGGGCTGGCCTCCCAGGCACATGCTGGCTAGGCCTGTTCTTGGTGGGCCCCGTGGGGCAGAACTCCTGGGAGCTACTGCTCAGAAGGGGTACTGGTCAGTGGGCTGGGGCAGGTATAGTCTCTCTGCCCCCCAGGGATCCCTTCCGTCTCTCCCCCTACCCCTAATTTGAGTGGGGGTGCTGACAGGAGCTGAGGAGGGCCCTGTCAGGACGGTGCTTAGCCAGGCCCCTGGCATTGACGGCCATGGAGTGGAGAGAGGGGGCAGGGAAGGGTGCCAAAGGGAGCAGGAAAAGCCTGGAGCGGAGACCCCGGGTCTCTCCGCTCTAACAAGCAGCTTCTGGGCAGGAGACAGGCCCCCGCCCTGCCCTACAGGCGCCTCCCACACAGCGCAGGGACTGTCATGGCTCCTGCCCAGCCCCTCCAGGCCGGAGGCCCAGTAAACAGTGCCGTGGTGCCAGCACCACCGCAGACAGGCATTGGTGCCAAGAGCATGGACCAGGCAGACCTCTGACCAGCAAGGCCTTGGTGTCCCCTTGTAGATTCCTCCAGGCCTGGCTCACTGCAGGTCAGGATGGCTGCTCCCCGCCCTGTGGAACCACAGTCACATAGCTTCCCCTCCGGTGCCAGCCTCGAAAGGCTGAGCGCGCCTGCTTCTGGTTACCTTACATGAACCACTAATTGAAGTCTGATGTTCTGGCCTCCAAACAGAAATGACAGCTCCCTCTCCAGCAGCCTGGCTTCCTGGGGGAGCGTGAGCGGTGCGGGGCAAGCTCAGATCCTGAGCAGAAAGCCTGCTTGCTGCCCACGGGCTCACAGGCCCTGGCTACAGGACAGACGGCTGGGACACTTGCAAGTCCCGTGGACCCCATTGGCCCTTAGATCCCAGGGCGGCCCTGTCAGCTGTACCACTGGAGGGGCCCAGACTGGGTATACACCCTGCATGGGGGCAGGCACTCAAGAGCTGGGAGCTTGGTTTCCCAGGGTGCAGCGGGAGCCAGCCCCTCACCGGGAAGGACCGAGGCTGTGCCGGATGCCTCCGGGAGCCACCCCTGGGCGATACACATGGGTGTACATACAAGTTTATGCACGTACCTGCCAGTGCTGGAGCCGGCAGGCCCATCCTGATGACAGCACCTGTCCCCCTTCCCAGAAGCCCGCAGCAATGCCTGGGACTTGGCCTGGGGGCGCTGGGACCAGTACTTACGGGGCTGGTTTCCACTTGAGCGGCTTGGAAGGACCGACGCAGCCCGGGGAGGCCTCGCAGCCTCCTTAAGAGCTTTTTTGGCTTCACTGGTGTTGCCTATGCCGTTCCCCGGCCAGGAGAGGGGCCGGGGCGAGGACAGCAGACCCCCAGCCAGCCCCATGGGCCAGCCTGGGCAGCTTGCCCTGAGCGTGTGCCCACGGGTGTCCAGGGGCCTCCTGGAGGCAGTTGTGAGGATAGCGAGGGGGCAGAGACCCTTGAAATCTGGGCTGTGTGCAGAGTGCAGGGTCTTTTCCCACATGCCCGTGGCCCAGCACAGCAGGGGTGAGTCTGGCCTGAGGCCCAGGGGCAGAAAACCTCACCTGCAGCTTCCCCCGCGGCTGGAGCCGCCCCCTCACGCAGACTCCCACACTGGGGAGAGGAAGGCTCGGCTTGTATGTTCCTCCCCGCCTGTCCGTCTCCTGCATGAGGCAGTGCAATGGCTCGGAGCTAACACCCTCCTTGGCCCCGTGGCCTACATCAGCGGGTCCCTCTGTGCCGGCTCTCCCACAGGGCGTGGACCGCATTGACGAGCCCGGCCTGCGGAGCCTGCGTACTGCACGGCACCTGGAACCGGGCATGGTGCTCACCGTGGAGCCGGGCATTTACTTCATCGACCACCTCCTGGACGAGGCCCTGGCAGACCCGGCCCGCGCCTGCTTCTTCAACCGCGAGGTCCTGCAGCGCTTTCGGGGTTTTGGCGGGGTGAGTGCCTATGGCCTAGCATTTTCCCAGAACGCCCACCCACAGCTCCAGCTGCTCGTCCGTTGCCTCTTTGGCTCCAGACAGACAGGGTCCTGAGTGGGAGGGACAGTCTTGACTCCCTCACTGGAGAAGCGCCTGGTCCGCCCCTTCTTGTGGTTTATCAGGAAGAGACGCTGATTCCACAAAACCCCTGCTCACTCCAAGGCCTCTTCCAGTGGGCACGGCGCAGGGGCGAGGACAGGGCAGGTGGTCACATGAGCAGATGGCCCCACGGGAGGTTGTCCACAGAGACTAAGGCCAGCCCCTTCTGTCAGAGGGAGTTTTGACCACTCCGTAGAAAGGGCTGCTCACACTCGGTGGAGGGAGTCCAGCCGGAGCTGTCGAATCGGACCCTCCCGTGACCGAGGCCGGCTCAGTAATCACGTCTTCCTGTTGGTCTGACCCAGGTCCGCATCGAGGAGGACGTCGTGGTGACTGGCAGTGGCATGGAGCTGCTGACCTGCGTGCCTCGCACTGTGGAGGAGATTGAGGCGTGCATGGCGGGCCGTGACAAGGCCTTTACTCCCTTCTCTGGCCCCAAGTAGAGCTGGCTGGAGTGCCCAGCAGGACTGGGTGCCCGCCTTGCACCTTCTCTGGACACCGGTCAGCCTGCCGATTGCCTGGCCCTCCGGTGGCAGGAGATGGTGCTGAGAAATGAGAACCCGGCACTGACATTGGATCATACCGGAGAGTGCGGTTTCCTCGGGAAAAAAGCTTTTTTTATTAATCTTCTGCAAGATTACGTCTGTTATGCACTTTGCTTAGATGACCCTGGTTCTTAAAATGCTGATAGAAAATAATCCTGTTTTTAGTAGCAGCTACAACATGTCTCGCTGCCGTTTGTGTGTGTGCCTTTTCTCTCCAAAATCAATATGTAATAAAGATTTTCTAACGTGGCCCTCGGGGCACGGCTGCCTCTTCCTCCTTCATCCTTTGCAGGTGAGCACGGTGTGCATCTTGGGACCCATGCATCTTGCAAGGATGGCTCCCCTGGTGTCAGCATCAAGGGCCAGTTCTCGGGAAGCAGTGTCAGCGGCACAGGCCCTCCGAACTCTGCCTCAGACTGGCCTGGTGGGACAGGGTGGAGCCCCTCCCGGAAGCCTGCTCTGAGTGCCGGGGTCTCTGCTGGGCTTCCGTCACTCTGTCGCTGGCTGCACTGCTGCCCGGGTCTAACAGGCATCAGCGCCACTGGAGCACTTGGTACAGATCGGTTCCCAGGGCTCGCTCTCAGGCCGGCAGGGGCGATGCCCAGGGGATCTGTACATTTGACGCTCCCTGAGTGCTCTTGATGCACAAGCCTGAGAACTGCTCGCAGGCCAGGTGGCGGGGATGCTCTGGGCCTTATGAGGACCAGGCAGCCAGAAGTTTGGGGGCAGCAGCTGACCCTGCAGAGGGATCCTGGTGAGCCTAGGCATTCAGGTCAGTCAGATGGGGGAGTTACCCCACACCATCCATGCCTTTGGACACACTGGAAGGTAGACCTGTGGTAAGATGCCTTTTGGATATGGTTACTGCCCTCAAAGCTAGATTCCTGAAAGGGGACAGAATTACGTAGCACTTAGTGTCAGTTTAAACCCTCATTGCTGTCAAGCGGATTCAAACTCAGCGACCCTATAGGACAGAGAAGAACTGCCCCATAGAGTTTCCAAGGAGCGGCTGGTGGATTTGAACTGCCGACCTATGGGTTAGCAGCCGAGCTCTTAACCACTGCGCCCCCAGGGCTCCAATGTCAGTTCAGAAGCAGTTATTGAGACTTGAGACTTGCAGAGGTTTGTTAGCCTTGATTTCCTGCTCGCGTGGGGCACAACTAGCAAAGCAACATCCGTCTGAGAGACGCTGCGGCAGCACCCTGGCAAAGGTGAGCTTTCTCCTCCCACACCTTGAGACCACTGGTCTTCCTTCCCTAAGTGTGAGCCCGCCTACTCTTCCTCTCTGGAGCCGTGCGTGAGCCATCCAGGGCCCAGCTGGGCCTGGTCCCTGCCAGCAGAACACCTGTCCTTCCGATGGTCTGATTCTTCCCAGTCCCACACAACTGCCCCCACCCCTGAAGTCCTGGATTCCGTACCGCATTCCTGCTTGCTTTCTCACAGGGCTCTCACCCAGGAGTTTCTAAGCCCAAATGAAGGGCAAGAGGATGTCAGATCTAAAACCACGATGCAGCGGAAATTGTGTAGCCGAAGCTAGAAGCGTTTTGAGAAGTCACTGGAGAGTTTAGTACACACTGATTTCTTCCATGGCAACAACATAAAAGTACTTCTGATGTGGCCACACTGAAATAAAACAGCTCATCTCAGTTGCAAATCACCATTTGTTATTTGCGTCTTATACTCGTAAGATGTGTTTGTTATGGTTTTCTGTTGGTGCACAGATACATTCCCTAAGTCATCCATTTGTAGCATTGTGCAGTTTGGGTAATGTGTCTTTCTGAGTGTCAGGAAAGTGTGTCTGCCAAGCATTTTTCCACCCCAGCTATGCCTGGGATAGACATGTTCTGATGTATAAGGTTTCGGTTCCCCCATCCTAGGGATAAAACCAGTTAAAGTTAGGTTGAAACTCTAAATGGACCGTTTAGTTAATTAAAAAACCAAAAACAGCATAGTACATCATACGTCTTTCTTCCCCCTCCCCTTCAGACATTCCATACCAAAACTGCCCGTTCCACTTAAACCTTTCTCTGGTCATCAACCAAGTGGACGAAAAGAGCAAGGAGAAACCCTTCTCAGAAACTAAGCACTCTTTGTTCAGGAGAGATACTGGGTTTAACCCAGGTCGGTAGGTCAAAGGGCATTCTTTGAAAGCACAGGTCTGAAATGACCAGCAGTAGCTACCTACCCTACCCTATGTTCCAGAGGATGCAGCCAACTCCAAGTCACCTTAAACCTCTGCAGAAATGCATAGAGCTTCATTACATGAGAGACCCTTCCAGAAAGTGGTACAGCTAGCTGAAATCCTTCCCAAGACCCTATTAGCTTTTCATTCAGTAAATAACTGAGCATTTACCCTGGTGGGACAGTGGTTAAGAGCAATGGGGCTAACCAAAAGGTCAGCAGTTCAAATCTACCAGCCACTCCTTGGAAACCCTACGGGGCAGTTCTACTCTATATGAGTCAGAAGCAACTTGACGGCAATGGGTTTTTATGTGCTAGTGTGGTCTAAAAACATGATCCCTATGAAAATTACCTCAAAATAGATCAATAACCTAAATATAAGAAAACTAAAACCATCAAACTCTTATAAGAAAACATAAGAGTAAACCATCGGGGTCTAGTTTTCAACAATGGATTCTTAGATATGACACCAAAACCACAATGAAAGACAAAATAGATAAAATGGACTTCATCAAAATTAAAAATTTCTGTGCATGAAATTTTATCAAAACGTAAAGAGACAACCTACAGAATGGAAGGAAATATTTGCAAATCATATACCTGATAAGGGGTTAATATCCAGAATAAAGAACTCCTATAACTCAACAACAAAAAGACAACTCAATTAAAAAGTGGGCCAAGGCACAATAACCCAAAGGTGGAAACAACCTAAGTGCCCATCAACAGATAAATGGAAAGACAAAATGTAGTACATACTGCAATGGAGAAATGAAGCCTTGATACATGCTACAGTATGGATGGAGCCTGAAGATACTGTGCTGAGTGAAATAAGTCAATCACAAAAAGGACAATGGATGACCTCACTTTTATATAAAGAAAAGAAAAGGCAAATGTATAGAGACCAAAGTTTATTAGTGGTTAACAGGCAGGAGGGAAGGGCAAAGGGGTATTAACGGTGATGGAAAAATCGCATTAAGGATAGGTTTGCACAGCCGATTACTGCAATTGGTGTCAATAAATTGTACACCTGTAAAAAGTTGAATTGGCCAAAGTTATGTGACACATACACTTAACAACGACAAAAAAAAAAAAAAAAAAAACTGAGGCTGCTTATGTACAACCAAACACCTCATGGGATTTGGTTCCTTGGTTTGGAAGTTTAGGGTCATGGTTTCATGGGACATCCCAGTTAATTGGCATATTAACATGTTTAGTGCTTCTGTTCTACCTCCTAGCTCATTGCATGGTTCCTGGGGTCTTAAAAGCTTGCTAGCAGCCATCTAAGGCACAGCAATTAGTCTCTCTTCACCTGGAGCAACAGAGGAGGAGGGAGAGTCAGGAATAGGAGGATATGGTATGTGTGGCTAATTGCCTCCACGAACAACTGCCTTCTTTGCTATGAGACCAAAAGAACTGGATGTGCCTGGCTACCATCTTACTGAACATTTTGAGCAAAGATTCTATAGAAGAATCCTGATCAAAAGGGGGAAAATGTAAAACAGAACTTCAAATTCTCATAGAATCCAGACTTTCTGGAGCTACGGAGGGTGGATGAACCCGACACTATTGCCCTGAGATAATCTTTAAACCTTAAACCAAAAATATCCCCCTGAAGTCTTCGTAAAACCAGACAATAATTCAGTTTAACTAGTAAAGAATGTCTGCCTTAACCACTGTGATCTTTCAAGATCTATCTATATGGGATCAAATTGACAACAGCAACTCAAAAGATTAGAAAGGAACCTTAGGGAGCAGTGAGCTTATGTTAATGGGGAAGGAACAACTCAGAAAAGGAGGGTGAGAATAGTTGCACAACTTGAAAAATGTAATTAATACCACTGAATTGTACATGTAGAAACTGTTGAATTGGTGTATGTTTTGCTGTGAGTATTCTCAACAACAAAATCGATAAAATTTTTTTTTAAATGGGCAAAGTAATTGAATAGACATCTCTCCAAAGCAGATAAACAAATGGCCAGTAAGCACATGAAAAGATGCTCAATGTCATTGTCATGGATTGAATCATGTCCCCCAGAAATATTTGTTAACTTGGCTAGGTCATGATTCCCAGTATTGTATGATTGTCTACCATTTTGTCATCTGATGTGATTTCCCTATGCGTTGTCAATCCTATCACTATGATGTAATAAAATGGATTAGTGGCAGTTGTATCGATGAGGTCTACAAGATTAGATAGTGTCTTAAGGCAATCTCTTGAGATATAAAAGAGAGAAGCAAGCAGAGAGACGAGGGACCTCATACCACCAAGAAAGCAGCACTGGGAGCAGGGCATGTCCTTTGGACCCGAGGTTCCTGTGCAGAGAAGCTCCTAGTCCAAGGGAAGATTTATGACAAGGACCTTCCTCCAGAGCCAACAGAGAAAGCCTTCTCCTGGAGCTGATGCCTTGAATTTGGACTTCTAGCCCACTGGACTGTGAGAAAATAGATTTCTCTTTGTTGAAGCCATTCACTTGTGGTATTTCTATTATAGCAGCACTAGATGACTAAGACATTAATCATTAGGGAAATGCAAATAAAAACCACAGTAAGTTACCACTTCATATCCACTAGGATAGCTATTATCAGAAAAATGGAAAGTAACAAGTGTCAGCCAAGATTTGGAGAAACTGGAACCCTAATCTATGTTCGTGGGTTGTAAAATGGTGCAGCCACTGTGGAAAAGTTTGGCAATTCCTCAGAGTTAAATATAGCATTATCATATGACCCAGCAATTCCACTCCCACATATATATACAAAAGAATTGAAAGTAGGGGCTCAGGTATTTGTACGGCAATATTCATTGCAGCATTATTCACAACAGCCGAAAGGTGGAAACAACCCATGTGTTCATCAATAGATGAATGGATAAACAAAATGTGGTATGTACATACAGTGGAATAGTAGTCAGCCATAAAGTGAAATGAAGTTCTGGTACATGCTATGATGTGGGTGAACCTTGAAAAAATACCAGGCTAATTATGTTAGATACAAAAAGACAAATACTGTATGAGTCCACTTACGTGAAATATGTAGAACAGGCAAATGCATAGAGACCAAAGTTTATTAGTGGTTGCCGGGGGTGGGGGGGCAGTGGATAGTTACTGCTTAAGGGGTATAGAATTTCTGGGGTGAGGGAACACTTTTGGAAATGGAAAGTGGTGATGGTTACACATCATGGGAAATGTTATTAATGTCACAGTTTTATACTTAAAAATGGTTAAAATGGCAAATTATACACACCCACACACACACACACACACACACACACATATGAAGCCCTGGTGGTGCAGTGGTTACAAGCTCGGCTGGTAACCAAAAGGTCAGTTCGAATCCACCAGCCGCTCCTTGGAAACCCTGAGGCAGTTCTACTCTG